TTGGGCGACGATTTGCTGCAGAAATCAACAACGACGACGATCACGGCCAGCAACCATGAATACCAGATCCCAAAAAACTGTCCGACAAGTTTCGCCCCGTCCATGTTGGGAATGAAAGCATCCCTGTTTCACCATCTTCCTCCTCCCCCTCCAACTTATCTCCACCATCAGTTCCAGCATCATGGTGCTATTAACAACAACAACAACATCAGCAACAATAATTATCCAAACAACTACAACAACAACATAAATTTTAACGATGATTTCAACAAGGGCAGACAGTTTCAGCCACTTCAGCAGTACTCCCAAGCCCCTCCTCCACCCCCAAACCACCATAATTTCTACCCCCACCTCCACCAAACCTACCAACAACAACAACAACAACCGATATTTCCCCAGACAACAACAACCCTCAAAAACAACAACAGCAAACATCTCCCGAACTCCAAGAGTGATCACAGCAGCTCAACCTTCCGACAGAGCTACTTATTCCCTACGGCAACAACTACCACAACTACCACATTCGGCGACCAGGAAAGCGTGTCGCCAACTTCTCTAACGTCCAGAGTCCCAGACGATATCTTATACAAACCCCTAGCCGAACTGGCCACTACTTCAAACGCCTACTCTTACTACCACTTCAACCTACTGGACAGCAGTTGTGGTATTGGCCTACCTTCTACTGGTGTAAACCCTACCAACATCGGTATTAATAGCAGCTGCAACGATTTTGACGCAATTTATAGCAACAACAGCATGGCTGGAAATGGAAATGATCGAGTTAACGGAGCAGCTCCGGGTTCAAACGCAGCCGGCAACCATTCCATAACTCAGCCGCTCCTTCCGAGTAACATCTGTCAAGTCGGTAACGTCGGCGCCACAATGACGATTTGGGGTAGTGGTAGTGGTGGTGGTGGTGGTGGTGGTGGTGGCGAAAATGGAAATGGTTTTGTATCTAGTAATGTCGGTATAGATGGCCTAAGTACCGAAAATATCGGTCTAGGGATGGGCGGATTTTTTCAACAATTACCGTCTTCGCCCAAGTGTAGCCGGTTCTTTCGTTCACCGAACACTACAGTCAGCGCTGTACCACTCGTTCACAACCATAATAATTTTGTAGATAACGATAGTAATAATAATATAAATAATAATAATATAAATAATAATAATATAAATAATAATAATATAAATAATAATAATATAAATAATAATGTAAATAATAATGAAATTGCGAGAGAGAGTCTACGGTATGTCAGTAACCTTGGAGAGGGGAAGTTTGGACAGGTTGTCTGCCTCTTTCTATTTCTCCTGTTACACTTTTTTTAGTTTTTTTTTATTATCATTATTATTTTATTTATTGCAATTAAATGAAGATTTTAATTTTCTCCATACCGTATTTAGGTATATTTATGCGAGTTTCACGCATCCCCAATTTCATCACGGTCGTCATCATCAACCACCATGTTGGCCGGCCGACAGAACCACTACAGCACGCTGACGTCATCGTCATCTTCACCATCTTCGTCACCATTGCTATCATTATCGTCGTCATCGTGCAGAAAGAAGCACACCCCAACTACCCCTAACCATACCCCGATGCTGGTGGCCGTCAAGGTCTTATTGTCTAATTCAGATCTGGTTTCTAGGTTGGTGTAGTCGTTGTCATTGTTGTTGATGTCTGTTGATGTCTTTGATGTTGATTTGAAAATAAATAGTAATAATTGAATATTCAACAGGTCAAAATTCGACTGCGAACTTAGAATAATGTCTCGAATTCGCGACAGAAACATCGTCAACCTGATAGGCGCCTGCACACTGGAGCAGCCCAACTGCCTCATCTTCGAGTACCTCAAGTACGGCGATCTCAAACGCTTCCTCCAGCTGAGATGCCCTCCGAGGATCAAGATCAAGGTCACGAATGTGACGTCATCGTCGCCAACGGCGACAAAAAGGAAGAGGTCGAGGAAGATGACGGTGGCTGCTGTCGACAACGGTGGCTGTGGCGGTTGTGTCTCTAGTGGTAATGCAGCCGCTTGTGGTAGTAGTAGTAGTAGTAGTAGTAATAATAATAAAAATAGTAATAGTAATAATAATAATAATAATAATAATAATAATAATAATAATAATATTAGTAATATGGGAATTATAGGCTGCGTAAGAAACGCCGGGATCGATGATGCTGACGAAACCAGCAGCCACAACAACGACGACGACGAAGATGCCAATAATAATAATAGTAATAATAATAATAATAATAATAACAACAACAATAATAATAGTAATGATGATGATGATAATAATAACAATAATAATAATAAAAGCCACGATGTAAAAGAACCTTTATTGCCATTGCTAAAATGCCCTAAATCCAAGACATTAAACAACAACAACAATAATAATGATGACAATAATAATAATAGTAATAGTAATAATGACGTCACCGATGATAATAAGAATGATGATGATGAGGAAGAAGAAGAGGATGATGATGATGACGAAGAGGATGTTGATGACGTCACCGTATCATCAACTTCATCCGATATTCAAGGCGGTCTAAGGTAATTATCATTTTTATTATAACTAAAATTATTATAACTATGATTATTATAACTATTAATTATTATTTATATTATTTTTATTTATATTACTATTATTCCACTACTGCTGCTGCTTCTGCTGCAGCTACTAATAAAACTAATTATAATATGCTAATTATAATACGCCAATTATAAGATGCCAATTATAATATGCCAATTATAATATGCTAATTATAATATGCTAATTATAATATGCTAATTAGCCTAGGCTGCCTGCTGTATATGTCTAGTCAGATAGGTTCTGGCATGAAGCATTTGGAGTTGCTGGGTCTGGTGCATCGAGACCTTGCTTGTAGAAATTGCCTCGTCGGTGACAGTTTCCACGTCAAGGTTATGATTATGATGTTGTTGCTGCTGATGATGATGTTGCTGGTAATGATGATGATGGTGGTGGGGATGAAGATGATGGTGGTGAAGAGGATGATAATGATGATAATGATGACGATGACGATGATGGGTTTTTCCAAATGTCTGCCATGTAATATTGTAACACAATTCGATTTCTTATCAGTCATATTTGATTGTCGTGCTAGCTTTCATCGTCGTCGTCGTCATCATTGTAATCATCACAATATCATCATCTCGTCATCCTACCCTCTTCATCAACATAATCATAAAACCATCGCTAACACCTTCATCATCATACCATCATCATCAATACCATCATCATCAACATCATCATCATCAGCGTTTTCTTCATCGTCGTCATCCCATCATCATCAACAACAACATCATCCTGACCAGGTTTCTGACCTGGGGACGAGCCACTTGCTACATGAATCTGACTATTACCCTCAGCCCTACTCTGATCTGCTACTGCCCGTAAGGTGGATGGCTTGGGAATCCGTGCTCATGGTTCGACACTCTACTGATACTAATAACCTTTTGGAAGTTTTTGTACTGTCTAATGATTTAGTACTGTGGTGCTATTCATTTTAAGTAGCATGTAAGGTTTGAGAGGAATTTTCTTGAAGTACTTATGTTTTAAGTACAAATTCGGGTGTATTTATGTTTCAAATGCAGCTGCTTGCATTTCAAAATGGACTTAGGTTTTAGGACTTAATGTTTTAATTTCTTGCACAGCAAAGTGCTTAAGTACTCATATTTCAAGGGCAGCAAGTACTCGAGTACTTACATTTCAGGTGTAAGCGCTAGTAAAAATTAATTTTAAAACGATTTCGAAACGACATCAGGGTAAATTTACGACAAAAAGTGACGTGTGGTCGTTCGGAATGACCTTGTGGGAGATGTTGAACTATGCCCTCCTCTCCCCTTATCCACATCTCTCTGAAGAACAAGTATGTTTGTCTGTGTGCGTGCGTGTGTGTGTAAGTTTGTATGTATGTGTGTGTGTTTATGTGCGTGTGTTTTCATGTTTACGAATTTTACTTACATTTTCATTTTTTTTAAATAATTTGAAAACCAGGTCGTGGAGAACTGCGAACTCTTTCGAAACCACCAGCCCACCATTTTAAACCCTCCTCCATCGCATCATCATTTTCCTCCTCCTCCTCCTCATCCCACGCCGGAACTTCCGGTAAAGCCGCCATCTTGTCCACGGGAGTTGTACGATTTGATGCTGCACTGTTGGAGCAAGCAGAAAGACGACAGACCGACCTTCAAAGAAATCGCCATGTTCTTGGAGAGGAAGAGTAGCGGCTACGATCCGCGTGATGACGTCAAGTGGCTGGAAATTCCGGGAATTAGCTTTTCAGCTGCTGTTGCTGCTGAAGAAATCTAGTGGTAGTTCTTGTTTTCCAGCTGCTGCAGTCACTAATGCTACTGCTTCTGCGTTTAGGAAATGGTTTATTTATAGCATGGTGGGAATTTTTGTGATTTTATTTACATAGTTTTTTTTGGGAAATTCTAAAAAAATGTTTTGTTTCAGTTTCGTTTTTGATCGGTTGTTTGTTTTTATGGCGAGAAGATGCGATGAAGTTGGTGTTGTTTATCCATCCATTTTATCTTTCCATCCATGCTTTTATTCATTTTTTTCAGTTCGACAGTTCATTCGTTCTTTCATTCATTTATACATACATTCGTTCGTTCATTCAATCTTCATATCGTTCACTAACCTAACTAACCGTTCAATGAACCAATATAATTGTAAACTTATCTCAAACTAGTTTCAGTAAAAAAAAACTTATTATTATTAATGTTGGTGATGACGACGACGATGATGATGACGATGATGATGACGATGAAGATGACGATGAAGATGACGATGGTGGTGAAGTTGAAAAATTTCAATTAATTTTAGTGATACAACGGCCTTATAACTACATGAAAAAAGCTGTACGAGGGATTTTATTTAGAAAAATTATTATTCTTTTTGATATTATTATTATTTCTATTATTATTTTATTATTATTGTTGTTGTTGTTGTTGGTTTTGCCGTTAATGTCGGTGAAATGATTTTTTTTACTAAAACACTATGTATGTATGTATCTATGTATGTTTTTGTGTGTGTATGTATGTTTGTGTGTGTGTATGTGTGTGTGTGGTGTGTGTGTATGTATTTATCTGTGTATGTATGTATCTATGTGTTTGTATGTATTTATGTGTATATATATATATATATATATGTGTGTGTATATACAATTTTGGGTAATATTTTATTAATGTTTCTTAACAACTACATATGTGTGTTTTCTTAAACGATTTATCTAATTAATTATTTTTAATAAAGTGAATTAATTTGAAATGTATTTATTTAATTATTTAATCTGTCCTTAATAATCGCGATTTAAAGATTAATAACAATGATCTTTAATAATAATATAATTATTATTATAATTATAATTAATTATAATTAATAATATTATCATGATAAACTGTTATATGGAGCGAATTATGCTTGTTATAAATTAAACTTTGGTATTGACTGGAAAGAATTCAACCTCTATATAACTTTTTTTATTACTATTACTGCTGTTGCTGCTACTACTACTACTACTACTACTACTACTACTACTACTACTACTACTACTACTACTACTACTACTACTACTACTACTACTACTACTACTACTATTTACTACTACTATTACTACTGCTACTAAAATTGTACCACTCCTATTACTACTACTGCGACTATTACTACCGCTACTACTACTACAACCGCTACTAATATTGTTATCCCCACTAAGACGCTGTACATATATATTTTAATTAATATCTCACTAATTTGTTACACACACACACACACACACACACACACACACACACACACGCACACGCATATATACATGTATATTATGTATAACCATAATTTAAGTTTTGCATATAAATTTATATTTTTGTAGATATGTAAATAGAATATATGAATGTGTCTATGAGACGACAACATTTTCATTTTTATCAGTTCCTCAATCGATCTAAACCTCAAATCGACTCAACAAACTCGAAAAACTCGTAAAAATTTTTAAAAAGCGTGAACAATAGCCTGGTTTTGAGAACTTTGTTGGCTGATATTTCGGAAACCACTGAAAAGTATACTTATTTTAATTATATCGCAATTCAAAGCGTTTTTGACCGAAGAATATCTATCTATATTCATGGTATGATGTGAACTACAATTTTATGAATTAAAAGAACAAAAATGCCAATATAATCTCTATGCTCTTGGAACTATTGTTCTTTGGCGCTCATAGCGATATTAAAGTCAAAGTTTATATTCCTTCGGTAAATTCGCTTTTTTCCTGGGGTTTTCTCTTCAAAAATTACAAAGGTATCTTATTTGAAGCATATTTGAGAGTTTTATTACAATTTTTAATCAAAAAATGCTTAAAATTCAAATTTTTTAATGTGTCATTCCGGTTTCCGTAATCAATGTAATCGATTGTGATGCAGTTGATTTTGATTGTTAGTAATTTTCGTACACACGGTGGTGAATGTGACGTCACCAATTTTTCTCTCATCATATAAATAAATAAACGTCTTGCTTTCAAAATATTGATTCAATAAGCATTTGTCACTAACTTCAAAATCTTTCTCTAAAAAACTTTTAATTCAATAATTAATTTATTCTATTTTATACTTCTAGTTCTTTTCCTATTTATTTCATCCAAAGAACGAAATATGGGCAACCTTTTGGGACTTTTTAGAGGTTTGTTTGGCAAAAAGGAGATGAGAATATTGATGGTGGGTCTTGATGCGGCTGGTAAAACAACCATTTTGTATAAACTCAAGTTAGGAGAAATAGTCACAACCATTCCAACTATAGGCTAGTGATCCAAAAATCTATAACTGTTTTTTATTAATTAAACTTATGTTAAGTATTTCATTAAAAAATTGTTATTTCATTTTTCTATAGATAATTTTGAAAGTTATTTAAAAAATTTGTTCTTATTGCTATCATCTAACTCACTTGCCTACCTAATTCAATTAGGTTTCAATGTGGAGACAGTTGAATACAAGAACATAAGTTTCACAGTTTGGGATGTGGGTGGCCAAGATAAGATCAGACCTCTATGGAGACATTATTTCCAGAATACCCAAGGTAGGGTTTTTCATATTTTTTAGCATACTTTTCTTTTTTCTACACAAAATTCTTCTTCTCCAAAATTTTTTAAACTTGTACCTTCACTAATTTTTCATTTCTCCAAATCATTTACACTAAGTTACCTCGCCGAACTTTCAGGATTGATCTTCGTGGTGGACAGCAATGATAGGGAGAGAGTTGGGGAGGCAAGAGAAGAGTTGATGAGGATGCTGGCCGAGGATGAACTCAGGGATGCTGTCCTCCTAGTTTTTGCCAACAAACAGGTACCATTATCTGGAATATTGTCTTAGAATTTTTCACATACATGCATACATATCTACATACATACAAACAAACATACATACAAATATACATTCATACATACGTACATACATACATACATACATACATACATACATACAAACAAACCTACATACATACATACAAACAAACAAACAAACAAACGAACATACATACATATCTTCTTGAAACTAGGACCTGCCCAATGCAATGAATGCAGCCGAGATAACAGACAAGTTAGGCTTGCACTCCTTACGCCAGAGGGATTGGTACATCCAGGCTACATGTGCTACAAGTGGGGATGGATTGTACGAGGGACTCGATTGGCTGTCTACTCAACTTAAGAAAAAGAAGTGAATGCCTGATTGGCCAGTTTTTTCCTGTACTGTAGTTGTGGTGGAAGTGTAGTGGGTGGAGTCGTGAATAAATTATTTAGTTGATCTTGTTTTTTATTTATTTATTTGTTATTTTATTTCTGTCTATGTCTTGTTTGTTTCAAATTAATTTTTTTGTAGTTTATTTAAAGACAGTTGAATGAGGCATATATAATTTTGACATGGTTTTAACATTGAAGGGGAATATGTAATGGATATGGTGGTTCTGATTTCTATGGATCACTAATTTGGATGAAAAAGATTGTTTACTAATACTAGATTAGTGGATGGATAGATGGATGTGTAAAGGAATGAAATAAAATAATGAATGAGTAAAAGATGGAATGAAGGATTAGCTAGAATTAGCTTACGGCCCTATCCTATTTCAACTGTAAACACAGTAGCATTGATAAATTGTATGTATAAATAGTTTAAAAAGATGTGTGTGTACATGTTAGAAGAGTTTTTTTACACGCTGTATGTCATATACTCACCCAGAAGCACAACTGAATTTTCTGTTTATTTGTTTAATTATTTATTTGTTTTTAAAAATATGAAAAAGAGAAAAAAAGAATAGATAAATTTTTTGTAATTATTTTTTTAAAATTCAACTTTTAGTTAAGAATTTCATAATTTATATGTAATTCGTTTATATACATAACTATTAGCACCTTCGTCAGTTTAGAGAATAGTAATATTGCTGTTTGCGTGTGTGTTTGTTCACATCACCTTTTCTTTCTATCATTTGTAAAGGTTTTATTCCATGTATTTATGAGTTGTAACTGGTTATAATGATAATAATTTTATTATCATCGTCATCATCATCAGATCTGCACTCACTTCGTCACCTCTTATTAAAATTCTAATTTAATAATGATTCCACTCGTGCACCCACTCAAATTTGTGTTTTGAAAAATTTTTATATCTAAATAATTCATTTCTATTGTAATAATGATTCAATAACGTAACCTTCTGATTGATTGATTGATTGATTGATTGATTGATTCACTCGTCAACTGATTTATTGAATGTTGATTTTTTGGGTTGATAATGTGTCGGGTTCTTTAATTTATACTATTGTATTTCACGTAGTTGTACTGTTTTTCAAGAAAATAAAGACGGTTTGGTAGGCCTGACCAAATATTTTCAACTTTTTCTTTGAGAAGAACTCGTGACCAAACCTTTTTCGGCTCTTTTATACATTCTAACTGACGTTAAGTTATATTTCGTAAATATAATGTCTTAAAATTTCGTGGAAAACCATACACTACAGTTTATTAATATTAAAATTTAAACGCTTCTTTATCTATGCTAATCAAAATTATTGTTCTAAATTATTAGTGTACGCCTTTAATCATCCTATTATCGGCCACTCGATTTTTTATTTATTTTGTAAAGTAAAATATAGTTTATTTATGTTTACTCTACATATATATTTTTTCGTAACGTAAGACGGACTCAACTGTTCTAATTTTAACTTTAAAATGAATGATTAAAGCCAACCAGGACAGTTATTTACTTATTTTTATGTTATTAATTAATTAGATTGTGACTTGAGTTACCAGTTAGTTTTTTATGTTAGTTAGAGGTTACTTGTTCGCCGTTCGCTAATTTTTTTTTTTAGAAAAAAAAAATAAAAGTCTTACTAATGCTTGAAGACAACAGCATCAAGACACAGGCCTGCATGAAGTTCGTTGAAGAAAATTCACATTTATTGAAGGAAAGGTCTCAAAGACCAAATTAGTAATTAGGAAAACAGTTTGTATTTATGTTTTGTTATGATCTGCTCCTATCAACTTGCTTGACAGTAATGAGCATGATGTACTAATCAACTAATTTATGGAATTTCAATTGTTGTTAAATAAATTATTTATAATATTGTTTTATGAGACAAACAACTGAACAAGTTATTCTCTGTTTAATTTATTGATTAAGATTTACACTTTTCATATTTTTATCAGTAAATAGTTTATAAATTATAATTTACAAATTAATTTAAAAATATAATGGAGAATTTTCGTGAGCAATTGTTTGCAAAACAACTAAGACCAGCTCTTGGCAGCAACATGGCATCATTCAGCAAACAGGAAAACCCAAGGATCGCCATGCCCCCATCATCAAACACCCACCAGTTTGAAGATGGTGAGATTTGTGAGGATGGCGACGATGAGTATGAAAGTGTGGGGGCTGTTAGCAACAATTACGACAGTGCAAGTACTGACAATCAGGTCTCTACAAAAAGAAGTAAAAATTCCAGAAGAAGACATAGGAAAAATAAGGGAAAACATCATCAGCCGATGGAAAATAATGGGATGAATATGCCCAAACCTGTTACTAACACTAATCAGCAGCCGTATTTGCATCATTCCTTCTCAACTCAACGACCACCATTGCTTCCTTATCCTCGGCCACCATTATTACCACCATCATCATCATCTTATGTGCCGGCTTTTCCGCCACATTTTTCCCCAAGACCACCATTATTACCATCATCATCATTTCATCCATCATTTCCCCTGCCATCATCATCATTTCCACCACCACCATCTTTATTCCCACTGCCACCACCATCATCATTATTCTCACCACCACCACCCCCACCGCCATCATCATCATCACTATCATGTCCATTCAATTTTAAACAACCTTTTCGAATGCAAATGCCAAGCGTTTCAAAATCACACGGCAAAAAACGAAAATTAAGTGAAAATAGCATTGATCCAGGTGATAGTAATGATGATAACAACAACAGTAATAATAATGTTGTTACTAGTATAAGTAGCAGCACTCAAAATACAAGCACATCCCTGAATGATGGCCCCAGCCCTAATCACACTAACATTAATAACAGCAGCAACTTCAGTAGCAGCAGCAACAACATCGATGAGGATGATGAAGATATATACGGTGACATTCTAACATTTGATGATAATGCCGATGATGACAAGAGCTGCAGTAGTAGTAGTAATGTATTGAATGAGAGTGCCAGCAACAACGATGAAGATTACACCGACGACAACTATTCATTCCCCCTTAATGTTTCAAGCGATAACGCCGATGACAACCTCAACAATATTATGAACTTCCACGTCTTAGACGAGCTAAACGATGATGACGACGCTGCTGACGACCGCAACAACAGCAACATCAACAATGACGATGACAGCAGTATTAATAATTACAATGAGGATGATGGTGGTGCTGGTCTGTCTAGTGTAGATAATTGCAACAGTTCTGCTAGCAATGACACTAACAATGCATCAGTTACTGCCTTCAACAGCAGAAAGAACCATTACAACAACAACAGCAGCAGCAACAACAACAACAGTAATGATTATGAGTATGATGAAGATACAGATGATGATGAAGACGAGGAAGAAGTGATTAATGAAGATGAAATTGATGCTATGCTGGATGAAGGAATGCCTTCCATGCCAAAAGCCAAGAAGAGGATCGGAAAGGAAACTCTGAATGCCAAACTTTTGCTACCTTTTGACGATAAAGATTTTATGCTGCCAAGAGTTTGTGAAAAAATTTTACTAGTTGGTTAGTTAGGGAAATTCGTTTTTATTATATAATTATAATTAAACTACTGCTGCTACTGTTGTTACTACTACTGCTGCTACTGTTGTTACTACTACTGCTGCTGCTACTACTACTACTACTACTACTGCTCTCGCTAATAATATTACAAAATAGTAATTATAATGATTTCTATTATAGATAGAGGTCGCAACCCATTCGATATTTTGCCGGAGGGTTGGATTGTGGTCACTCATACGAGCGGCATGCCGTTGTATTTGCACAAGAAGTCGAGAGTGTGTACCCTGAGTAGGCCCTATTTCATCGGGGCTGGTAGTGTTAGGGTTCGTTTTTTGTTCTACGTTGGTGAAGTTGGTGATGTTTGCTGTGTATGTTGTGGTATTTTGTTAGTATTTCTTTGGTTTATCTGCTCACTGATGGGTTTTTTTTTATATTTTTGGTCTTTGTGTGACTTCGTGTCTGTTGGTTTTGTGTCCCAATAAAGTCAAATGGTAACTTGATGCATTGTTATAATTGATTGCGTAATTTTGATTTACTGCTTTATCATAAAAAAAATTATAAATTTAATATTTTTAAAAACTTCAGAGGCATGACATTCCAGTGAGCTCCATTCCATGCCTGCAGTACAAGAGAGCCCTAGAGGAGGCAGCCAATCAGAATCAAGATATAAATAACTCGACGGGGAATCCCAATCTTGAGAATGAAACTACTACTACAGCTACTATTACTAACAATGATAATAATAGTAATATGATTCCTCCTTCAACGATAGCTACATCAACTAATAATTCCATGTCTAGTAATGCTACTACTACTTCTATTACTACTACTACTTCTGCTGCTGCTATCGCCGCCGCCGCTGCTTCTGCTGCTACTGCTACTACTAGTTACAATATTGGTACCTGCCCAAAAGATTTCCCCCCAATTCCTGGACTGCCTCATGTGTCCCGCAAGTTGAAAGTTCAAACATTTGAAGAGCATAAGAGAACTAATAGCCTAGGTAAGTTTGTGGTTGTACTGCTACTTTGCTATTACTGCTACGCCACTATTACTACCTATACTACTACTGCTGCTGCTGCTGCTACTACACCCACTACTGTTTATTAATACCGCTACTTCTTGCACTATGACAACTTTTTCATTTCTAATTGCAGATCCGCTGGCCTTTAGGGAATACTGCCAGAAGTTGTTTGAGTTTCGAACTATAACCATCAGGAGATTCAAGTTAGGGAGAATTATTATTATTATTACTGCTGTTGTTGTTATTGTTGATGTTATTTCTATTGTTGTTTGCTGCTGTTGGTTTGTTTTAAATTGATATTATTGTTCTTGTTATTGATCTTGTTGTTGTTGTTGTTTAGTTTTAAAATTAACAATATTATTATTATTATTATTATTTCTTGCAGACGTTGGAAGGACAGACGGAAGCACAACCAGATCCTGAAGAATGCAGGCCGCCCGTCCCTGGCCCCGAACACTCGACTGATCACCTGCCAGTTGCAGAACGACAAGGGAGCTCCACATCATAATAAAAAGAAAGGTGACGCTGCTGCTGCTACTGCTGCTACTGCTGCTGCTGACGATGATGATGATGAGTGTGGCTGTTGTTGACGATGATCTGGTTTGAGTGCAAAGATATCCTTGTCTGTCACGTGCGGTGCAGTGTGTGTGATGCGTGTTTCTCGCGCGTATTCATACACGCCATGTGTGAAGCAAGTGGGCTAGAGAGAATGACCTTTAACCTTTTTTTGAACTTTTCAATTATTATTTATAATATTTGTTTTTAGAATTTGTGATAAACCCGGCTGGGAAGTCAGCTGTCTGCATACTACATGAGTACGCCCAACATGCTATCAAGGTTCAGCCTAAGTATAAGTTCACCGAGTTAGGTTAGTTGGCTGGCCGGTTGGCTGGTTCATTGAGTGAATGAGTGCTTGATTGATTGATCGATTGGTTGATTGATTGATTGATCGACAGATTGATTGATAGATTGACTGACATCGTCATAATCACCATCATCATTTTAATCATCAATTAAGTTTAAAGCTCTTTCATCTCTACCGACGTTATTAAAAACTTTACAATCATCATTTTGTTATCATCACCATCATCATCTTAATTACTCACATCACCATCATCATCATCTTAATTATTCTCATCATCATCATCGTCGTCGTAAAGATCATAATCGTGACCAAACTTTCTAGAAAACTCCCAGACGCCGTACAGTGCTACGGTCATCATAAACGAGATACATTATGGTACAGGCTATGCTAGCAGTAAAAAGTTAGCTAAGTTGGAAGCAGGTATGTGCCTAAATTTCATACTATTGTAGCTGCTGTTTAATCATTCATTCGTTCGTTTGTTCATTCATTCATTCGTTTGTTCACTCGTTCGTTCGTTCGTTCGTTCGTTCGTTTACTTTTCTAGTTTTTTCATGGTTTATTTTATGTCTATTTATTCATTTGTTTTTTGTTAAGTCACTCATTCGTTCATACTTTTTCATTCATTCATTTGTTTTTTTCCTTCATTCACTCGTTCATTTACTCGTTCATTCAGTCATTAATTTATTAATTAATTTTTCAATTAGTTAATTTATTAATTTATTCAGCAAGGGTAACATTGGATATTCTGATACCAGATATCAACAAAGAAATCAACGCTCGTGCCGCCGCTACCACTGCAGCTGCCACTGCAGTTACTACTTCAACCACTACTACTCCTAATAATAATAACAATAATAATAATAATAGTATAATTAATTACAACAATAATATGAACAAATTTCACGACATCATTAAGAATAATAACTGCGTCAGTACTAATAGCTATAACAACTCTAGGAAGAATAAAAATAATAATAATAATAATAATAAAAATAATATTAAAAGTAACACACACGCTACAACTACTACTATTACTACTAACAACAAAAATAATAGTAACGATAGGGCAGCTACTACTACTACTACTACTGCTGCTGCTGCTTCTGCTACTACTACTACTCTAGCTACTACTACTATCAACAATTCTAGCGGTGATAGTTGTAGTATCGGTGATGATGATGATGTCCGTTCTGTTGGCGACTCTTCTTATAGAAACAGCAGCAATAACAACATTAACAAAATCCATAATAACAACAACAACAACAATAATAATAATAAAAACAATAATAAAAACAAGAATAATAATAATGATGACGACGATGATGATGATTATAATAATTATTATAAGGACGAAGTCGATGATGATGGTGGTGGGGATGAAGAAGCGAGGAGGGGGAAAGATATTTACAGACATTCACAGGACCTTGAGGTATGTTGTTGGGGGAGATTTTAAAATAACTAACTCCTCTTCTTCTAAGTGTTATTGTACTGTCCTGTGTTATTACGCTGTAGTTATTATTATTATTGATTTGTAGTTATTATTATTATTATTATTGTTGCTGTTGTTGTTGTCGTTGTTGTTGTTGTTGTTGCTTTTGTTGCTTAGTTTTGGTTGCAGTGTATGTGTGTGTGGTGTGTGTGTGTGTGTTTGATTCGGACGTATTAACGTGTCTGTGCATATGTCTAGATACTAGATAATGGTAATGAAATGATAATAATAATAATGATTAATAATAATAATTATTATTATTATTTTTGCTGTTGTTATTATTTTTATTTCTAGTTCTTCGACAGCATAAGAATTCAAGATCCACGTCTCTTGAGCTTGTGTGCTACGGCCGGCCATCCAACCCCCTATCAAATACTTCACGAGTGCCTGCATAGGTTTGTGTGTGTGTGTGTGTGTGTGTGTGTTTGCGTGTGCCTGTGTGTTTGTATGTGTTGTGTGTTTGTTTGTGTGTGTGTGTGTGTGTGTGTGTGTGTGTGTCTATGTGCGTGTGTGTGTGTGTGTCTATGTGCGTGTGTTGTTGTCTTCAAAAATGCGTTAATGTTTAATTAATAAAATTAATTATTAATATAGCGTAATATAATACTCACAAACACACGCACGCACAAACACACGTACGCACAAACACACGCACGTGCCTATTCAGAAATTATGGCATGGGAGACACAGACATCAAGATGGAGATGAAACCGCTGAAGAGGCAGAGGAGTGAGTTCATCATGAAGGTAAATAAGAGGAAGAGGAGCAAGATGAGATGATGAGGACAGTGCTGGTAAAGATGACGACGAGGATGATGATGGCGACTATGATGATGACGAAACTAACCAAATTCCCGATACACACGTACTCACACGAACACACACACGCACGCACACGCAGGTCGGAAAACACGAAGCGAAAGTGATCTGCAAGAACAAGAGAGAGGGCAAGCAGCAGGCGTCCCAGGCCATCCTGCAGCTGCTCCACCCACACATCAAGAACTGGGGGTCGTTGTTGAGACTCTACTCTAAGGCCAATGAAGCTCAAGAAAAAAGGGTTAGCTGGATGAATGAAGGAATGAATGAATAAGTGAATGAATAAGTGAGTGAATGAATGGATGAGCAATTGCAAGGATAAATCTATAAATACATGAGTGGGTAAGCTATTGAATGAACGAGCGAAGGAGTGAGTGAATCAATGGGTGAGTAAACGAATGAATGAACGTACGAACGAACGAACGAACGAACGAACGAACATTGCGTAACTTAGGCGGAGGAACACAGTGTTACAGAACTGCAGACAAGAGCCCAGCCGAACAGAGCTATTCTAAGCAAGCTGAGGAGAGAGATGAATAAATTATACAATAGTAGAGTAAGTTGATGATGGGGATCATGATTATTATTTATTATTATTATTATTTATTTATTTATTTATTTATTATTATTATTTTTCATATCCAGAACCTGTTTGAATCGAATGCCACTGAAAGAATCCACGTCATAGGCCACCAGATCAGATCTGCAGAATTAGGCAGCGTTGAATTGTAATTCTAATATAAATAAGTTAATATTATAACTATAATATAGTTAATTAATTAATTAATGTTATAAGTATTATACAATGAATTAATGTCACTGTTATAATTGTGGTTCAGTAATTAAATAATAATGTTATTTACTATGTTACACATATTGCACTGTTGTTGCTTTACGATTGTACATATATGTATGTGTATTTGTGTTGGTAGATAGATAGATGAAATTATGGGTATATACCATGATATATATATACATTTATTATATATATATTTTATAAATCCATGGTCTAATAAATTTGTTGAAATCAAGTAGCTATTGAGTCGTGTATATTTCCTGATTTCTGGTTGATTTATTTTTAGTTTGTGCTCGATTTATTTTGTCAATTGCGTTGTTTTTTGTTGTTAAAGACGTTTTCTTGGGTTTTTATTCAAAATTTTCAGTAATTTCTTTATAAAATCACAAATGATTAAAGTGGTGTAAATTGTGACATTTTCGGTCCTGAAATAAATCTTTTTAATATTTGGTGTCTTTGGTTTCTTTGTATGGCCCGGCCAATCTATTTCTGGTACCGGTTCGATCGATATATATTTACTCGCAGAGTCACGCTATTCTATTAGCAATTTCTTCTCGAATTGTTTTAGAACTGCGCGAATCTTACGTTAAAATGACCGATCAACGTTAGTTTGTTTGTTAATTTATTTTATTTTATTTGTTCGTCTAATATCGGCTCGTTGCGTTAATTATTTTTGTCAATCTTCCTAATTATTTATTTATTTTTGTTCACTAATTTCAGAATATGGTTACGGCGGTTCCGGAGGAGGCGGTGGCGGCCGTGGTGGGGGCGGTTACGGAGGGGCCCAAGGTGGATATGGCACTCGTGGTGGATCAAATGCTGGTGGTGGATCTGGATATGGAGGAGGAGCTGGAGGAGGGTAAGAATCTCTGAAAAATAGAGTCATTGGCATATTGGTGTGATTTTGATCGTGCAAGATGTTTCATTTGCTGATTATGCCAAGCTGTAGTTAGCTGCATTAAATTTTTTAATATTGTCATTCACAAATAAAAGTTTGTTTTCGCATCGATTGACTATATTTGCATAAGTTAGGTTTCACCAAAAACAAATTGAAAGTATTTCTGTTCAATTTCGAATGCTCTCTAAATTTTTGTTTGGCAGTTACGGCAGCTATGGCGGAAATTCTGGTGGTGGTTATGGAGGAGCTCCACAGGACCAATACAGTGATCAGTCACAGGGTTACTCTGGGTATGATCAGTCGCAGTACCCAACTGATTCTTATGGTGAGATTGCTTTTCGTAAATAATGTTCACTGTTTTTATATATAATTTTCATTATAATTATTTTGTACTTTAATTTTTATGTACAAAATAAAATAATGTTATTTGTTTTAGACTTGCTAAGTATGCCCAGTTATACTTATTTTTTTCTTTCAAACTATATGTAGTCTCCGGTTACGGTAATGATTCAGATGGGGGTTACAACAAGCCGAAAGGCGATCGTGGTGGTGGTGGCAGCGGAGGTGGATATGGAAGAGGAGGAGGTGGGTACGGTGGAGGAGGAGGAGGTGGGGGCTACGATATGGGGTCCGGGTATGCCCAATCATCAGGCGGTGGACCACAAAGATCATCATATGGAAGAGGTTAAAGTTTTTTCTATTCTTCAAAGGCTCTGTAGTTTTGTTTTAAATTAGGTTAAACAAGATAACTTATTTGTATTTTACTCTGAAATTTTTTCTCACAGACAAGGGTGGCGATCGTGGTGGTGGTGGAGGAGGAGGAAGAGGAGGAGGAAATTATGGGTGAGTACTCGTGTTCTTCTTCGTAGAAAATATTTTGTCTGCTGCTTCAAAGCATTTTTAGTGCTATCATTAATTCATCTGAGCTTACTAGAAATACAAACATTCAGTGATGTATGCTAAGAGACAAAATTATCACTTGGAAAAGCAATCAGGTTTTCACAGCTAAGCTGCCATCTTTAGTTAACATTATATAAAGTAGGCCAGGAATTGGGGTGTGCTTGATCTTGCCAAGGTTATAAGTATGCATTAAATTTATATGGTCTACATAGCAATGTACTTAGAGCAATGCACTAGCGAAGCTTGTTTCGTGAATGGTGATAATATATTATCCGTGGCTTCAGCAGGTTAATGATGTATTTATTTTTGTTAATGAATGAATTCTCATTAAAGAAAAATTTGTGAACAATGTTTCTGCCAGACAGGTACAAATTGCCACTTCTACAGCTGCTGTTGCTGCAGCTGCTACTACGGTCTGATCTTCAATTTAATTTTGCCTTGCAATGGGTTTAACTTATGCGATCTGAGTTTTTTATAGGTAGAAATTGTTGAGTTAAGTTTCCAATCAGAGCTTACTATGTGCTGCTTTCAAATTTATTAAGATTAACATGGTGTTGAACAATCAACTAAGTGCTTATAACAAGTTATGTTTTACAAGGAGTGTTATAGAAAGACCATGATAATTTTGGCTAGTATGTATATAATCTAGCATAGCAGTGTTAATATAATTTATTTTGATCAATGAATCCAACAAGAGAACTATGAATTGAAATTGTTACAAATGAACTTCAAACAAAAATGCTCATACAAAATGTTCATACAAACAAACGTTGTTGACAAATGTTCGCAAAAACAAACGAAACAAACAAACGATTGAACAGGAGGGGTAGAGGAAATCAAGATGGCCCTCACCAAGGAGGGCGCGGTGGTTAGTTGTGTTTACAAAAATCTATTCAATATATATACATATAGATAACTATGTAACCATATATATATGTGTGTGTGTGTGCATGTTTGTGTGTGTGTGTGTAATGTATATAAATCTACACCTTGTGTCAGTTTTTATCAAGCATTGTGGAAATATTTATTCTAAGGCTGGCCACTGTATGGAAAAATATGGCATACATGTGTGCATGCATCTAATAAAGAGATGGACAAATTTTCTTATCTCAATTGAATGCAATTTTATTTTATGTAGTTTGAGTAGTTGGATGCAATTAGGTAGTTAGTTAGTTGATTCTGGTGGGGTTGTTTTTTGCTGTCTTTATAGTCTAACTGAAGAAATGCACCAAAAGATGAAGGAGGGTCTTAATGAAATGCGGTGTAAAATAAATATCAACGTTTTTGTAGTTTTGTGTAAAATTTAAAAAGATATAGGATACAAAGGTGGGGGTTTATATTTAAATTTGGGCAAATTGTTATTTTATAAGTGCGTATCCATCACGTGTAACAGTGTCAAGAATGTTTCATCCTATAATTGTAGCATATTTCGTGTAATGAACTGGTATAAAATGATGGGAGATAAAATGAGTAGAGAATAATTAATGTTTGGTGTTTATGGTATTTTTATAGTAAAATTACGTGCAAACCCACAGTTAAAAATATTTGTATGTGTCAGAATTTTTGTACAACAAGTAGTATATACATACAGTAATTGTTTATTTTTTTGTGTCATGAAATCTGTAAAAAAAAATTTGAAGTACACAGCTTCAAACTGAAAGGCTGGTTATTGAACTGGGGCCATAAGAGTGTGGCATTTTATTTACAGTACATGTTGGGTGGATAATAATGTGTGCTAAGCTATGAGTAAGAGTTGCAGCCGGTGGGCTGATGTATACTGTTCTTATAGTTATGATTTTTTAATTGTGTAGATATTTATTTTTTAATTTGGTATATAAATGATTGCTTAAATGTTTTAATAAATATAGAAGTTGATTTTATGTAAATATTTCTAATTTAATGATGCATGGCACGCAGCACAGCGTTAAGGATTGATTTTTTTTCAAAAATTCAGGTGGTGGCGACAGATACGGTGGTGGTGGTGGCCAGTATGGGGGTGGAGCTGGTGGCAGTGGGGGCCAATATGGAGGAGGAGGTGGTGGCGGGGGTCAATACGGGAGTGGCTGCGACCTCCAGGAGATGCCAGATACAGTTTTCATCCAGGGACTGCCAGAGTACATAACAGAGGATGAACTGTGTGCACAATTCGGCTCTATTGGTATCATCAAGGTGGGTTGAAAGATTTTCCATTCATCACTAGTTCTTCATAGTCTAAATACTTTTGTAATAGTAATAATATCTCTCTCTTTCTCAAATAAATCACTGACCATTTTATAAACCAACTGACAGATCGACAAAAAAACGAATCGTCCAAAAGTCTGGCTATACAAAGACAAGCAAAGTGGCCGACCGAAAGGTGAAGCTACCATCACTTACGATGATGCACAAGCGGCTCAGGCAGCCATAGAATGGTTTCACAGTTAGTGATTGATTGATTGATTGGGGTGTTTTCTTGTTTCATAATTGCACACCTACACGATTACAACTACATCAAAACTCTCGCCACATACCAATGTACGCAGATAAAGAATTCCAGGGTAAGACGATACAAGTCATGACTGCTTCAAGGAAGGTACCACCTGGTGGATTTTCATACCAAAAGGGTGGTCGTGGAGGTGGCGGCCGTGGTGGTGGTGGTGGCAGCTTCGGCGGTGGTGGCGGCGGCGGCCGAGGTGGTGGTGGAGGAAGAGGGGGAGGAAGTGACAGTGGCCGAGCTGGAGACTGGCCCTGCCCCAATCCGTAAGTATTTTTTGTTGTAATTTTTCATCTAATTTTGTTTACCTTATGAATAATTTCAATTAATTAACTAATTAATTGGTTTCCTCTGTCAATTAATTGTAATCTAAATAGTTTTCTATGTTTTTAATAGTAACTACAGTAATAAATTTGTAAATATAAATTTTCGCCCTAAAATTTTTAGCGACTGCGGTAACAAGAACTTTTCATGGCGAACCGAGTGTCACAGGTGCCAGGAGCCTCGACCCGAAGGGATGGGTGGTGGCAGTGGAGGAGGAGGAGGAGGTGGTAATTAGTTTCATCTTTTTTTATTATTTATCATAATATCGATTTTTATTGCTAAACCTAATTTAGTATGTTGTACATCCAAACGTATGCCTTCGTGATTACTTCCTAAGAGGTTTATATATTTGTTTGTATGAAACTTCTTTTGTTTCCAGGTTATGGTGGTGGAAATAGAGGTGGTGGTGGTGGTGGCTTCAGGGGTGGCCGCGGTGGAAGAGGTGGTGGTGGAGGAGGAGGAGGTGGAAATGATTATGGGGGGTGAGGAAATTTTTCATAAATTTTCAAGAATTCGTTTTGTTTTATTTTCTTGATTCAAATTTTTGTCTTGTGGTTTCTTTTACTTTTCTTATACTATTATCTCTGATTAATTAGTGATTAATATCTAAATTATTCAGAGATAGGAGTGACAGAAGAGACCGGCCGTATTAGAAGAAAGATTTTGTATGAATGAATACACATGATATGTTGTACGCATCATCACATTGAGTTTGCTGTGTGTGTTTGTGCTGGCTTGTCTCCGTCTCTATGTATTCCTGTATCCATTTTTAGTATTCTTCCTCTGTATATACGTTTGTGTGTGTGTGTGTGTGTGTGTTTAGAAATCTGATAATGTTCATGTTAGTGGGTGTTTGTCTTTAATCAATTTGTGTGTGTGTTTTAGACAATTGACTGCTTAAATTGAAACGATTTTTAATGTACAAGTTGTTGTTTAATAAAAGATAATTAACCTTAGACTTTCTTGCCTTTGTCTCTGCGTTACCGGGTTTGAATTCGTGCGTGAGATCGAGTTGAAGGTAGTTAAATGAAGTTGTACTGTCAGATTCGTAGTTGGTGCGCGTTGTTATTGGATTTGGAAAGAAACTAAGATAGTGCTGTTAGATTGTGGCTTTGTTTTGTCTGTCTGGTTATATATTTATATATTGATTATATTTAGTGTTATATAGGTTTATACATAGTTATGTAGAGTTATTGATTATATATAGTTATATAGTGCTATATGCGGTTATATAGGTTTATATATAGTTATGTAGAGTTATAGATTATATATAGTGCTATATGCGGTTATATAGGTTTATATATAGTTTTGTAGAGTTATTGATTCTATATAGTTATATAGTGCTATATGCGGTTATATAGGTTTATACATAGTTATGTAGAGTTATTGATTATATATAGTTATATAGTGCTATATGCGGTTATATAGGTTTATATATAGTTATGTAGAGTTATTGATTATATATAGTTATATAGTGCTATATGCGGTTATATAGGTTTATATATAGTTTTGTAGAGTTATTGATTCTATATAGTTATATAGTGCTATATGCGGTTATATAGGTTTATACATAGTTATGTAGAGTTATTGATTATATATAGTTATATAGTGCTATATGCGGTTATATAGGTTTATATATAGTTATGTAGAGTTATTGATTATATATAGTTATATAGTGCTATATGCGGTTATATAGGTTTATATATAGTTTTGTAGAGTTATTGATTCTATATAGTTATATAGTGCTATATGCGGTTATATAGGTTTATACATAGTTATGTAGAGTTATTGATTATATATAGTTATATAGTGCTATATGCGGTTATATAGGTTTATATATAGTTATGTAGAGTTATTGATTATATATAGTTATATAGTGCTATATGCGGTTATATAGGTTTATATATAGTTTTGTAGAGTTATTGATTCTATATAGTTATATAGTGCTATATGCGGTTATATAGGTTTATATATAGTTTTGTAGAGTTATTGATTCTATATAGTTATATAGTGCTATATGCGGTTATATAGGTTCATATATAGTTATGTAGAGTTATTGATTATATATAGTTATATAGTGTTATATGCAATGGCGGGAAGTTGCAGAAAAATTCAGAATGGCCCCTCTCTATGGTACTTAGACTTGAACGCTCAATGTTTGCCGAAGGATGTGAATTGATGATTGATTGGTCTGGTATGCTATGAAGTTGTGGTTCAGGCAAAAAATTTAGCTCGCTATCAGAAATCTGTCAAATGTATTGATTGCTGGTTTTAAAATTTGACGAAAAATGTGTAAAAATAAATATGTTCCCGCCCAGGCTCGAACTGAGGACCTTTCGCGTGTTAGGCGAACGTGATAACCACTACACCACGGGAACTCTCAACTACTAGTTTTCTATTACTGTTACAAATTATTGTTTCGGCGATGTTTGCAGTCAAATTATTGTGAGAAGTGATAAGACATGAGGCAACTTGACTTAAAAAAAATTAAAAAAAAAAAATTAAATGATAAATTTGATAGAACAAACATTATAGCCAGTTTTTTATTTTGATTTAAGTTTACTTTTAATTTTGATATAAAATCAACTTGACGTGCCGACAAACACCTGTAGCACATTTTAAAAAGTTTCTTTTAAATAAAAAAAAAACAATACATTAAAAAAAACGAAGAAATTGTCACAGGCTACCATTATATATATCCATGCAGGCTACTGGTCTTGAAGCAAACTAAAAAAATTTTTAATTATGCGCTACAACATTTATAACGCAAAAAGTAAGCATAAACACAGCTTTATGATTTTACTAATTATTGAATCAAACTTCGTTTCGGAAAAAATTCAAATAAATAATTAGTTTTGTTATTTTTTATGCCACGTAATCCTGTTTTTAAAAATTTTTAATTCATGAATTTAAGCGAATAATTAGCAATTAAAAATTGCAAATATTGTAAGCTTTTTTGTTTACACTTTGTCATAAATGTTATAGCGCTTCAAAAACAAAAAATTTATTTCAGATTTCTAAAAAAGTTTCGATTCATTCGATAAATGACAATGAAAATAGATAAATGCCGTAAGCTGAAAAAAATTTGAGCTGAATTTTTGGCAAATTTCAACCTTGACGGGGATTTCGACGCGCGAACCCTCAAAATGTTCGTCTAGTCATTCTACAATTTCTTCATCAAACCTTCTTTGCCAAAGAAAAGTCGTTCCAATTCTGATCAGTAGTTTCCGAGATTTCAGCCTCCTAAGCTTCGAACGTCAGCCTCTCATTTTCAAATTATTTTTCATGTTTTTCCTCAAATTTTCAGCATCACTTTGTCGAATTTTACTTCTTTTTCGACTCTAGAAAGTTTTACTGTTATATTTCAACGTGACAAAAATTCTCAGCTATGACCGTCCTGATAGTAGTCGTAGTAGTACTATTGTAGTTGTATTATTTTAGTAGTTGTAGTAGTATTAATAGTAATAGTTGTAGTAGTAGTAATAGTAGTACAGTACTGCCTGTAAATATTTCAAACAATTGTGATGATGAGTTTCGCTGCACAGATGTTATCGATTCTATGACGTTGCATGATTGTGTGTGTGTGTTTGTGTGTGTGTGTCTGTGTGTGTGTGTCTGTGTGTGTGTATGTGAGTCTGTGTGTGTGTGTCTGTGAGTGTGTGTGAATGTGTGTATATAAGTTTGTATATATATATATATATTTACATTAGTTATCGAGCACATAAGTAAATCTGCAAGATTATACATTATTTTACGAGCGTTACTAAAGCCTCTCTCTCTCTCTCCTCTCTCTCTCTCTCTCTTTCTCCCTTTCTCTATATAATAGTATATTTAACCGCTGTAATCATAAGACTTTCTGAAATGAATTCTAAGTGACATACTTACACGTTGCCTTGCATGCGTATTTATGATTGTTTTTAATAGTTGTTTTGGTTGTTGTCGAAACAACGGTCTCCTCCTCCTCCTCCTCCTCATCATCATCTTCTTCGCCATCATCATTCTTACAAGTCTTGTTTATGACAATTTCTCCTTTGACAAACAGCAACAACAACAACAATATCTAGGACAGTATCGCTATAGCATCAACAACAACAACATCGATAACAACAACAACAACGTCATTCACAGCACTGAATCAATCACAAACAACAACAAAACAGCAACAACAACGATGTCACAACAACAACTATCAGCTACATCATCTCTACCTTCACTGGCGTCTATCATCTTCTCACTGTCAACAACCCTCTCTCTCTTTCCGCATCTATCTCTCTCCGAAGAAGCTGTTGCCACGCCCACATTTGCCCCGATGATTGACAGCTGCCAAATTCTGGAAAAACTCAACTCGTCTCTGGTAGCCATTCACGAGCCTGCTTTCATTTTGCAGATAATGACGTCAACTATTACGTCAGAGGAATGTGCGGAGTTGTGCTGCTCTTACAAAAGCACAAATGGAGGTAATTGTTTTTTTTAATTTTACACACACACACAAACACACATACAAACAAAGGCACTTACACACGCGTGATACACACAGATACCTGCAATACCATATCCTACTATCTGTCCGGTTTATCTAATCATGTGTGCGTATTGCTGAAGTGTACCCCGTTCAAAAATTGCATGTGGAAGCAAATTCCTGGTCGGTTGGACGATTGATTGATTGATTGATTGATTGATTGATTGATTGATTGATTGATTGATTGATTGATTGATTGATTGATTGATTGATTGATTGATTGATTGATTGATTGATTGATTGATTGATTGATCGATCGATCGATTGTTTGATTGATTGATTGACTGATTAGTACTTAAATATATACAGGATATTATGCAGCAAAAATAAACAAACATCAGCAGCAACATGCAAATGTCGACACGTTTACGACCACATCTGCTGCTGCTGCTACTACTACTACTACTGTAGCCTCTACCACAACTACTACTGCTACTACTACTCTAAGCACGGTTATCCCTGATAACATTAACAATAATAGTAATAATAATAATGATGATTATGACTATGAAGAGGTCGATTGGAATTTTATTGGGGACCAATTTAATAACAATAATAATGATAATTATAATAACAATAATAACAATAGTAATAATAATAGTAATAACAACAACATCTTAACAACGACTCAAAATAAAATACCTCTTGATCCTAACAACAACAACATTGATAACGTTAATAACAATAACAATATAAACAACAACAATAATAATAATAACGGTATAAACAACAACAACAATAACAATAGTAATAACAATAATAATAACAATCGCGATTTTTTCGGCCAAGTTGATGTCGTCAAGAACTGGCCCCTGGATAGTGAGGATGGTGTAGAATACGATAGGAACGCTGATGATTATGATTACAATACCGGAAAAATCAATAACAATAATAACAATAATGATAATAATAATAATAATAATAACGATGTTGGTGATGATGACGACGGCCAATTTCGCTCTGAAAACCACTCACAAGCCAATAGCCTGCATAAAGTATCGTAATATTATTATTATTATTATTATTATTATTATTATTATATTATTATCATTATTTAAATAAATAATTCCCTTATCTACCCCTTAGATGTACGTGTACGTCGGCGTTCTTACCCTCCTGTTCCTTGTCTTCGTCGCCCTTCTAGTCTACTTCAGGAGGGCCTTACACGCAAGAAGGGTGAAGCAGTATCGGCCCTTAAGAGATTATGACGTCAGAGTGGAGCCCACGTCGTCCAGTGCCACACTTTTGAATTAGAGCCCTCTCTATCTGTCTGTCCGTGTCCATGTCGAAGAATTTTTTGATGTCTTGCGTTTGGAAAAAGAGTGAAAGCAAGATTGTAAGAAGAGAGAGAGAAAAAGAGATAAGAAAAGGAAGAAAAGAAAGAGAGAGAAAGAGAATAAATACAAGTTTTTTTATATAAAAGTGGTTGACATTGATCAATGTAAGATAGATTCGTCTCTATGTATCAGCCAGCATGAACTGAACATGTCTTTTGTACAAATTTATTTTCCATGAACATATCATGGTTTTGGGATGTGGCAATATTGTTCAATGCATTTCTACGTTATTATTGCTACCACTATTCTTTTGTTATTTATACTATTAATGATAAATAGACTAAACGAATGACATCAAAATTAATGAATGAATGAATGAATGAAAGAAAGAATGAACAAACGTCAGACCTTGTAGTTAGTATTGCTGGCTGGAAGTTTATGTTTTCTTTATAATGAGTTTGCTTCTGTATTATCATATTTTTCTGCTAAATAAAATAAGTTTTGTCGGATATATGTGATAATAATCACTCTAAAATCATTACAGAATTGAAATAGATACTAGAAGTGAATGAAATTGTGCAAAAATTAATATTTTGAAAAATTTAAGCAGATTAAACTGTTCAATCACTTAGCACTATTAATCCATTACTATAATATGAATAATGAAGTTCGTGACAAAGTTTTAAAAGTTCAGCGCTAGACTATTTATTCTATGTAGCTTTTAATGTAGCTTTACTTTTAATCTTTTTTTGTTTGGTTTCTTTATAAATAAAATGAATACGGCCGAATTAGTGTTAGATGATAGATTAATTAGTGTTAATTAATTAATTATTTGCGTGAATTCAAAAAGTCGAACTTACTTTAAATTGCGAAATACAATGAAAAAATATTAAGAACTGTAATAAATCTTTTTGTTAGTTTCTTTCACTATTTTTGAGAAGAAACCAAGAGAGTCAAGAAATTCGTGACTGGTTAGGGAAAAAGTGGACGATAAATTTATTTAGTTAGTAGATTGCGTTTTGTTGATTTTAAATGATGAAAACGGCAGCAGGGGCAAAAGCGAAGTTACGAAATTTACTGTCAGATGCCATCTCGTTATTGTGCCGGACCAACCTGGGTCTCATCAATACAACATTCTCCATCGAGGCATTCATAGGCATAAATGTTAACGACGATGAAGATGAGGATGTGATGCTGCTCAGTTTCAAAGAAACTTATATGCCCGACGGCGCTGCTGTGGCGTATGTCTGGCAAAAACAAGGATGTGATAGTCGGGAACTGGTTGTTAATGACGGCATCCCCACCGACCCACATCTCAACATTCAGCCAACATCCAACAACAGTTTTAGAAGAAATTCATCAGACAATCAAGAAAAACAAACTGCTTTTGAAGTTAAAAAAGAATTTAATTCAGACCCCAGCGACAACGATGCTGATGTTTTGATAGTCGAAGATTTAGGGAACAAACAAAAATTAGGGACCAGCAATTTAAATAGAAGCACATTTCAGTATTCAAACTACAACTCTTGTACATCTAGTCCAGACAGTGCTACACTGTCGCCACTCTCGATAAATCAGAAAAATAAAAGAAGAAAACAAAGGGTCCCATCAAAATTTTGCTACAAAAACAACAGTGATGATGTTAATGAAAGTGGCAACAAATCTTCAATGGGGCCAAAAAAATTTGATTTGGTAAAAAATAGCGACAACTTTTGTAATGATAATAACGATGATGATGGAGACTTTTGCTTAAATTTGAAGATAGAATCTATTGATTCTTCTGAACCATCTAAACACTCGCAACCGTTAAATTTCACTAACTTAGAAATGCCTTGCCTGAATAGGGATGGTGATGATGAAGGTGGTTGTGATGATGGTTTTGAGGACAGGTATGTCGTTGGAGATGTTGTCAAGTCGGAAGTGAATATAGAAAAAGTTGATAGCGAGGATGTTGAAGATTCAAAAAATATATTTTGCATCGTGCCTTACTCTAACTACAACAACAACAACAGTTTTGAAGATGATGTCTGCAGCAATGCCTTAACATACAGCAGTAGCAACAACAACAACATTAAATCTTTCAAAAGAGCTGGCAACAACAACGCCATCAAGAAGCTCGTCTGCGACAACAACAACAACAACGGCAGCAACCGAAACGCCCAACAACCTCGAAACAAAAACTCTAACAGGGGTGTGTCTCGTCGCCAATGGTCCTCGTCATTGCTGCAATCCAATAAGAACCTGCTTATGACGCTGATGTCGTCATCATCACCGGCCACAACATCAACGTCATTACCCGAACAGCCCCACAACTACACCCTCGAAGCACTAAACTCAATTAGAAATACATTACTGTCAACAACTGCTACTCCAGCTGCTGTTGATAACAGTGCCAGTCCTGTTTCACTAATTGCTGGACCTCAAGTTAGTGCAAAAAAGAGATGTGCTGGTGTTCATTTTAATGGAAGGGATGGAGTCAGGAAAAGGAAAAGTTCCAGTAGTAATTTGAACAGAAACTCATACGAGCACGACGCAAAAATTATATCAGATGTTAGTTTTGTATCAAAAATTCCGAGTACATTTTTTTTGAAACATTTGAAAGTACATTCAAGTTGAAATAACATACATATAAACACGCACACAAACACACACACTCACAGTCACACACACAAACATATTATTTTCAGCTATTGCCTTACTTGTTCGACCAGCATCGGCCTATACTGATTCCACCGACTGTTACTCAGTTCGCTCCGAAGAAAAGGTCACGTGAGATTATGATAATGATGTTGTTGATGATGGTGATGATGATGTTGATGATGATGTTGATGATGATGTAGTTTGTAGTGCGGATGTTGTTTTTTTTACAATGATGAAGATTGTGCTGGCTAATTTACTGAAATACAATAAAATTTTTGTATATATTCTCTTATCAATCAATCAATCAGCTCAATCAATCAATCAATCAATCGATCAATCAGCTCATTCAATTAATCATTCAATTGTTTATCAATCAGCATTCATTTACTAACAACACATACGACCCATAGACAACCATCTAAACGTTCAACCGACAAATTAAATCACATTAAAACAACCAATCAACTCTCGCACCAACCAGCCAACCAATCAAATTTCACCGGCAAATAAAATTTTGCCAACAAATCAAATTTCACCAACCAATCAAATTCCGCCAAGCAATCAAATTTCGCCAATACAACCAACAACAAGATACAAAAATTACTACAGATGCCGTGTCTGCTACTCGAAGAAGCTCCGAAAAGAGGTCAGGTACTGCTGTGTCGGATGCGTCGACCACCCTGGCCTCTGTCTAGAACCCTGCTTCTACCAGTTCCACTTTGTCCGCGGATGCGTTCTGCCTAAATTAGGCACTGAAATTAGGACTGGGGACGAAGAAGAAAATAATAATGATAATAATGCTGACGATGATGATAACAACAATTGTAATAATGTAAATTTTGGTTATAGTAATAATAGTGGTAATAATAATAATAATTATGGTGACGGCGATGGTGGTGATGCTAATATTTATAATGATGAGAGTGAGATGTGATTGGTTGGCTGGTTGGTTGATTGATTGATTGATTGATTGATTGATTGATTGATTGATTGATTGATTTTTTTAAACAAATTTCTTGTTCATTTCACAACTAGATATTCTCTGAAGAAACATTACATTTTCCGTCTATTTGCTTGAATTTGTCTGTATGTGTGTGTGTGTGTGTGTGTGTGTGTGTATGTGTGTGTGTGTGGGTATTATATATGTGGTATAGATTAATAATTCTGTGAATAATTGTTACAATGTAATAGAAGAAGATGACGATGATGACGACGACGGTAATGATAATGATGATGATGCCGATTACGATTAATTATAACAATAATAAAAATGAATAATAATAATAATAATAATAATAAAAGTTATTTGTATTTATGCTGTGTGCAATTATTTCATTTGCGGAAGATTTATTTTTTGTCTCTTTCCTTCTCTCTTTCTTTCGTTCGTTTCCTGTCATTCTTTTACACTTTTAACCTCCATTTTCTCTCTCTCTCTCTCTTTCTTCTTCTCTCTTTTTTTCTCTTTCTCTCTTTCTCTCTCTCTCCCTCTCTCTCACACATTAGTTCTTTCATCATTGATCCATTATCCTATTGCAGTTTAGCCTAGAAAAGTGTTTCGAATGGTGATGGGTAAAATAATTAAATAATAGTAATTAATAATAATAATAATTAATAATAATGTTGATAACAATACTTATAAACGATAATATATCATCATAATTATATTTTATGATCAATGCCGATTTATGATCAATTTTTATTTCCAGTCTATATGTTTTTTGTGTAATTATTATTATTTATCATTATTATTATTATTATTTATTATTATTTATAATTATTTTTTATATTTATTATTATTACGACAATCATATTTTTTTCGTTGGTTTCAAGCAGTCAGTCATTTTGACAGCAGTATTAAATTCGAAGATACACACACTATAATATAAAATATGATATCTATAATTATAGTAATTATAGTTGTTATAATTATTATTATTATTATCGTTGTTGTTGTTATGGGTCTATGTATCTTTATTTGTTCTATGTATATGCGTGTTTCATCACTTGGTCCAATTTATAGCTTAAAAAAATTTTGCTTCATTCTGTTTGTAAATGTGTATGGGTGAATGTATGTTTGTTTGTTTGTTAGCTTGTATGTCTGTCGGTATGTGAATGTGTGTGTGTGTTTGTTTGTATGTGTGTGTGTGTGTTTGTTTGTATGTGCGTGTGTGTGTGTTTATAACAACTGATTCCTTCTATATAATCACATCTAGACCATACAATTCTCACACTTAGTCTTCTTCTTTTTTTTGGGACAAAAAAAAATAAAAAGAATATTTTTCAAATTTTTATTTAGTTTTTAAATCTATTTATTATTCTTTTTGTAATTAAATTATTTTTTTTAAATAATTTATTTATAAGTGTCGGTATACGTTTCGTTTCATTGCATTGTCTATATATATATATATATATATATATATATATATATATATATATATATTTATTTATTTATTTATGTATGTATGTATGTATGTATGCATGTATGCACGTGTGAACGAGTGTACGTTTGTATAAGAAACAAGTATTATTGTAAAAATACTAATAATGTATTGTATTTTAGTATTTTCTCTCAGTCAAACACACGTAAGTCAGTTTTTATTTATTTATTTATAACAATGACCAAGAGGCATGTAGAAGATGGGCTATATTTGCATACGTAGCTATAGAATTTGCGCTTCTCCCTTTAGAATTTGCTTCTTCTCATTCGATGCTATACATTTTCATTTTCACGCCGTGTTTGTCAGCCGTCTATGTCCTATTTTTGTTCTATTTTGAGATTTATACACACACACGCACACACACACTCACACTTTAGTTCTAGTACGGCCGGCAGATTACGATATATTTTTTCATTATTCTTCTTTACCAATTTGATGGATCCCATAAATGTACACACACACGCACACACAAACACACGCACACACATACACACGCACATATGTAATATATTTATATATATGTGTAGTTTTTGTTTTTGTCTGTCTTAATTGCACACGTGCCAAGAATTTCTATGTCACTTAAAATTTGTAATTTTATTTACTGATCAGTTGTTATGTACATGTATATATCTATGTATAATTAACTACTCTCAGTTCGAAAATCATTCTGGATTATTTGTTAGTTGCTTTGGAAACACACTTGAGAGAGATTGATAAATAAGATTTTTTTTGTGTCTATGGAAGCCAATGAATGAATGAATGGATGAATGAATTAATGAATGAATGAGTCGAACATTGATCATAGCTATGATTGTTTTGATTTCAAATTGAATTCGTTGCCATCTTGAAGCGTTTGCTGAACTATTAAGAAGGGGAAATTAATTGTTTTAAAACTTTTTTGGTTCAATTTTTTCATATTTTTGTCTGAGTGCTTTAATATAAACATATTTGAATAAATATGTATAAACACATTTATGTGTAGTTATATATATATATATAATATATATATATATATTATATATAATATATATATAACGAAATGATTGCTTTGTTGAAGTTTCTTTGGTTTTTTCATTTTTTGTACTGAATTTGATTGAAAAATGTTTGAAAGAGATGGGATTTTGTTGTTTAGAAGTAATTTCAAGTGTAAATATATAAAAATTAATTTGAAATTGAGCAGAAAATTGCGAAAAACCTAGTAGTTAATCGGTTGTTCTATATCTTAACGTGGAATGTCTCATTACAATATCTTTGGCATAATCTTTTTTAAAAATTTCAACTTTTAGTTCTTTGCCCACGTCGAAGTTAACTTTTAATCAAGTCAAAAAGTAATGTCATTAATTGTGACAAAATCGCGATTAAATTCTTTAAAATGTAAGATTTTTCACATTTTTATTTCAGAGTTGAGTTTAATTTTTTTAAACTTATATTATAAAAATTTTAATTTCGCCTGTCACTTACTCCTGCTTTCCCTCTAAATATCTGCTGGATAACTAGACCTGCTACTCACCAACTTTTTGATTTTAAAATTAAAATAATAAAAAAGTTATTTTAGAATCACACATTTTTTCATTTATTTATTATCACCCAATTTCGCAATTAAATGTTGATTTTTAATGATAAAATCACGTTTCCACAATTTATAGTATTTTTAAATAAAAAATTTTCAAAGTTATGTTATTTTTTATTTACTTTTATACTTTTATATTTATTTGATTTCATTCTTTTTAGTTTTACACTTAACAAGATGTTGTTACTCGAAAATTTCATCACCAACATCTCTGGTCCCCAAGTTGACGACACATTACACCATTCATTCACGTGACAAAGACCCAAGATGGAAGGGTGAGTCCATCCTTCATTCGTCGTCATTTATTTTGTATTTTTTTCACTTTCAGTCAATCCATCAATTAGTCATTCATTTATTTTTGATTCATTCAATCATTCAATTCATTTATCAGTCATTATTACATCTTTTTTAAAAATTTTTCATCATCTGTTAAACTAACTCATCCTTATCCTAATTAATCTCTTAAAAGTGTGCATTTTAAAACTGAATCTAGATATTGAAATGGAGAGATGTGCTGAAGAGTATGATGTTGTGATCGTTGGTGGGGGTCCAGGTGGTTTATCAGCTGCCTGCAAACTCAAACAACTCTCCAATGAACATAATAAAGAACTTAAAGTCTGCCTCGTTGAAAAAGCTTCTGAAATTGGTTAATAGATGAATGTTTGAATGAGTGAATGAATGAATGAATAAATAAATGAATAAATAAATAAAAAATAAATGAATAAAGGTAGACACACATTGTCTGGAGCTTGCATAGAAACATCAGCTTTAACTGAACTATTCCCTGACTGGAAAGACAAAGGGGTTGGTTAATTTTTTTGTAATTACCGTAATAATAATTTAAAATATATTTATAATTATTCATAATTATCATATATTCATAGTATAATTATTCCTAATTATTATAACAGGCTCCCATCCACACGCCAGTAACAGAAGATAAACTTGCCATATTAACTGAAAAAGGCAGAATACCATTACCACTACTGCCAGGTTTGTAATTCTTCTTCTTCTTCTTCTTCTTCTTCTTCTTCTTCTTCTTCTTCTTCTTCTTCTTCTTCTTCTTCTTCTTCTTCTTCTTCTTCTTCTTCTTCTTAATTATTATTATTGTTGTTGTTGTTTCCTCCCCAAGGCTTTCCATTCAACAACCACGGTAACTTCTTAGTTCGATTAGGACATTTAGTGAGGTGGTTAGGGGAACAGGCAGAGGCGCTGGGCGTTGAATTGTACCCGGGATGTGCTGCTAGTGAAGTTAGTATGAAATTATATACACACGTACACACACATACAGACATATACACACGTAAACACACACATACACACTCACACACACAAATACAATCACGTTAGCTTTAAAAATAGGTTGTAACAAATGGCATAACAAATAATGCAGATCTTGTACAATGAGGATGGTAGCGCGAAAGGGATTGCTACTAATGATGTTGGCATCTATAAGGATGGCTCTCCAAAAGTATGTACGTGTGTGTGTGTGTGTGAGTGTGTGTCTGTGTGTGTGTGTATGTATGTATGTATGTATGTATGTATGTATGTATGTATGTATGTATGCACACACTAATTAGGAATCGTTCTCAAGAGGCATGGAGCTTCATGCCAAATGCACAATTTTTTCCGAAGGATGTCACGGCCATCTTGCCAAACAATTATTCCGGAAGTTTAATCTCAGGGAAAATTGCTCTCCCCAGTCGTACGGGATTGGTTTCAAAGAATTGTGGGAGTTAAATCCGACCAATCACAAGCCAGGAAGGGTGGAGCATACGGCAGGCTGGCCTCTGGTTGGTTGTTTTGAGTTTTGGAAAATTTCGATTGATTATATTTTTGTAAAAAAAATGTAGTTTTGTAGCTAAAATGTTTATTCAAGATAATTTTTCGAGTGAAATGCTTCGAATGAATCATTATTTGTTTATATTATTGCAATTTGTTAACAAATATAGGACAAAAATACATATGGTGGCAGCTTCATATATCATTTTGGAGGCCCTGACGCGCCACTTGCTGCAATTGGTCTTGTGGTTAGCTGTTTGCTCGATCCTTCACCAGAATTTGTTTTTAATTTCAATTTCAATTTTAATTTATTTTAAATTCAACCGCGACTAGATGGTTTTCTAGAAGCCTGGCTGTAATTGGCTAGTGATTAAGCATTCCCTCCAATAAAATTTACAGATAGCACTCGACTACAAGAACCCATACCTCAACCCTTTTAAAGAATTTCAACGTTTCAAGCACCACCCTTCCATTGAACCCACCCTGAGAGGGGCTAGAAGGATCGGGTATGGCGCAAGGGCACTCAACGAAGGGGGCATTCAGGTATTCATTTTGTATTTCACTATTTATAATGATTATGTTAATTTTATTTGAACACCCCTCTATTAAAATTTAGACTCTTCCAAAGTTAACATTTCCAGGTGGTTGCCTGGTGGGCTGCAGTCCCGGCTTCATGAATGTCGCTAAAATTAAAGGTACAATTAGGATTATAAATATATTTTTTTTCGTTTAATCAATTCTTCATTCTTTCATTCAATTAGTCATTTATCCATCCATTTGATTATTTATTTTCTCATTCATTCATTCGTTTATTCATTTTTTCATTCATTCATTCATTCATTCGTTCGTTCATTCATTCATTTTGAATTTTTTTTAAGGCACCCACGCTGCAATGAAGAGCGGGTTGTTAGCAGCAGAAGCAATTTTTAAGACTCTCCAAGATTCTTCTGATGATGTTAAAAGTTTGTTGTCTTCATTCATTTATTCGTTCGTTCGTCCATTCATTCATTCATCATTCATTCATTAACACCATCCAGCCATAGAGCCGACATCTTACGAGCAATCATTCAAGGAGTCCTGGCTCTATAAGGAGTTGTACAAAACTCGAAACATTCGGCCATCCTTCAACACGAGATTCGGTTTGTATGGAGGCCTTGCCTACACGGGTTCCATTTGGTACCTTACACAAGGAAGAGAACCCTGGACTCTTAAGCATCACGCGGAAGATGGTTAAACAGTGTTTTTTGTATTTTCGTCTAACTACATTTTTTTGATTTTATATGATTTTTGATTCACGCGGAAGATGGTTAAACAGTGTTTTTTGTATTTTCGTCTAACTACATTTTTTTGATTTTATATGATTTTTGATTATTTTTTATGCGTTTCAACAAATTTTTCGACATTTTTCATCGTAATCATTCAACCAATCATCGATTAGTTCCAGGGGATCACGTGTTTTTGAAGCCGGCCAATGAAAGCAAGCCAATTGACTACCCAAAACCAGATGGACAAATCAGCTTCGACTTGCTGACGTCAGTATCGTTGACGGGGACCAATCACGAAGAGGATCAACCTCCTCATCTCACCCTATTGGACGATTCAATTCCAGTTGAAAAAAATCTGAAAGTTTATGATGGCCCGGAGGGGAGGTTTTGTCCGGCAGGTTGGTTTTTAGTGGATGGATGGATGGATTGTGAAGTTTCCTGTTTACTTCTTTATTTCCTTCTCTCATTCTTTCTCTCTCTCTCTCTTTTTCTCTCTTTTTTCTCTATCTCTTTATTTTCTTGGCACACATACGCATTCAATTCATTTTACTTCCTCTACAAAAAATTAAATTTTTGAAGAAAAGAATCATCGCTACAAATTATAAATCACAGACTTCAAAATGTATTTCAAACTCTCAGGCGTGTATGAATTTGTCGAGATAGCAGAGAAACATCAACAACAACCACAACAACAACAACCACAACAACAACAACCACAACAACAACAACCACAACGACTCCAGATAAACGCGCAAAATTGTATCCATTGCAAGACATGCGACATAAAGGATCCGAGCCAGAATATTAATTGGGTATGTCCGCAGGGAGGTGAGGGACCGGTGTATGACGGAATGTGAGGGGGGGAAGGAAGAACTGGACGTGGAAAAACCGGACACGAGAAAGAGAAGGTGTAGGGTTAGAGTTGGGATGTAAAAGATGAGGAAGAAGATGGAGATGATGAGGATGAAAAAGATGAGGATGAGGATGAAGAGGAAGAGAATGAAAATGATGAAATAGAGGATAACGAAGATGAAGAAGATGAGGATGATGAAGAAGAAGATGATGAGGAGGAAGATGATGATGATGATGAAGAGGAAGAAAAAGGTGATGATGAAGATGAAAATATAAATTGGCTATGTCCATGTCCATAGAGATGCGACTGACCGAATGATGGAATGTGTTGGATAGTAGGAGGGAGAGAGTCTGGAAAAAAAAGAGTTGGACGTGAGTTTTGACGATGATGGTGGTTATACGATGACAATGTTGCTCATATATTATAGATGCTAAATAGGACGAAGACGATGATAAATCATGGTTAGTCATCATCATCTCTCTACTTATAGTATAACAAACATATTTGTCAACTATGACTTATAGCTAGCTATTATGATTTAACCTATGGTTTATTTAATTGCGAAATATTGATCCTTCAAGTCCTGGAATTTAAATCTCTTAGGTAGACGGTAACGTCTTTCAAAAATTTATTTATATTAAGAAGAATTATTATTATTTTTTTTAATTATTAGTATATATATATATATATTTATTTATGTTTATTTTTTGTTAAAATAAAAGAAAAAACGAACTTTCGGGTTGATGATTTTTTCTTTCAAAATGTGAATTGTATTATCGTTGGGATAGTGATTAGTGTTTGTGGAGGAAATAAAGAAAGCATCTTTGTGGGGTACGGAGACCAGTTTCCCTCTTTCTTTCTCTCTCTCTTTCTTTCTCCCTCTCTCTCTCTCTTTCTTTCTCTCTCTCTCTTTCTATCTATCTACCTGTTTCAGTTTTTCACTTTAAATTTATCGTTCAGTATAATTGAAATGAATGAGAAAATGATTGTTCAAACAAACGAAAAAATATGATCGAATGAATGAATGACCGAATGAATGACCGAATGAATGAGTGAATGAACGTGTGAATGAACGAGCAAATGATGGATCGAATGAACGTTATTTGTATGGATGGATGGTTAGATGGATGGTCCGCTCACAAGTCAAACGGTTGATTGATTGGTTTATTGGTTGGTAAGGACGTGAGTAGCTGCGTTTGTATGTATGTATGTTTGTGTGTTTGTATCAAAAAACATACATACATACATACACACATACATACATACATACACATACATACATTCATTCATACACACACATGCACACACAAACAAAACCAATTAACAAAAACTTTCGATTCGTTTCTGCCCTAAAATACAGTTTCTATCTCTTCAAAGTTTGATGACGTCATAGTCATTATCGTTTGGCCGCCATTTTGGTTTCGATCATCATCGTCGTCATCATCATCATCCCGGCCGACGCCATTTTTGTTTTCTTTCACGCCATTTTTCCCGGTGCCAGCATCATCATCAGCATCTTCATCATTTGCGTCGTCACCCTTTTTGTTCTCCAGTCTCTTCTGCTTCTCGTACATGCCTGAGTGATGATGACGATGAAGACGACGATGATGCTGATTATTATTATGACAACAACAATAATATTAATAATAATAATAATATGAATGATAATAATTTTGATGTTAATTATGTTGAGAATAATGCTGACGTGAAAATATTCTCTTACGTTTCAGTACGGCGTCACCATTTTAAATTGACATCTTCTTCAGTAACAGCCGCTCCATTAATACAACATCAAAGAGTAAAACAAATAGTAATCAACACACACACACACACAAATGCACACACACACACATACACAAACAGAGAAAGAGAGAGAGAGAGAGTTGTTATATGTCTGGGACGTTTATATTGTTCAATAAATTTAGCAATACGAGCTATGAATGTTGTTGTTGTTGTTTGTATGTGTGTATGGCTGTGTATGTGTGTGTGGTGTGTTTTTCATGCCTAATTACATTAAATGTTTTCCATTTTTGAGTGCATATCTATTAATCAAGATAACCAAGATACCCATACACATAACAATAACAACAAAATGTATGTTTGTATGTTTGTATATATGTATGTATGTTTGTATGTATGTTTGTATGTTTGTTTGTATGTTTTAGTATACTTTTTCCTGTTTCTTTTTATCCTTTATCTTCTTTTTTGCTTGTTCGTGGTTATGATACCTGTATCTTAGTAAGTTTGCATTAGTATACAAACCATGTTTGCATACTTCGGTATACATATGCCTATGTTTCTCTCTCTCTCTCTTTTTCTCTTTCTCTCTCTCTTCTTTTCTCATTTTTTCTCTCTCACTTAATCTTGTTTGCCTATTCGATAAATATTTCGTTGAGTATAAAATAAGTTTGTTTGTGTGTACATTTTTATGTGTATGTACGTGTATGTGTGTGTGTATGTGTGCGCACGTGTGTGTGTGTACGTAAAATGTATATTTATGTAGATAGAGACCTTTCCTCATAGTTTCACGCTCCGGTTGGCTCAAGTACAATTTCGTTGATTAAACTCTGATTCAATTTAAGATAATGTTCAGTCGGGAGTTCCTTCTTACTGCACGACTATGAAAATTTACTACCACTGCTACTGCAGCCACTACTACTGTTGCTGCTGTTGCTGCCATTGCTACTACTTCGGCTACTGCAGCCACTACTACTACTACTACTGCTGCTGCCGTGAACAAAATACTACAAAAGATAATAGCAAGAGATGGAACGATAAAAA